TGGGTATTGCAATATCCACTATCCAGATTTTTTGTCTTTTTTATCAACAATTGTATTATTATTATTACTATTATTATTATTATTATTGCTGCTGCTGCTGCTGCTGCTACTGGTGTTGGACTTGTTTGTTGCAACTGGCGTTTCTTTGTGTAACAAATTTTCAGCTACACTAATTGCATGGCTTTCTTGGATAGAGGGGACTTTTCAACACCACATGATTTGCAAGTTTGAGTAATACTTGACTTTTATCTGCATGAGGCTGTCTTTAAAGACAGGAAATGGTTTCTAATGCTAAAAGGTTACTACATGTTGTTACTATATTTGGCATTTTTTTCCCAGCAGTACTAGTTGCTAGTAAATATCTGAGGACAATTCAAGCTAGTGGGGATTACCTAAAAAGATCTTTGCAGCCTAGATTCCCATCATCTGAATTTGCCACTCTTTTTCCACTATAGTATCTCTATGAGTGATGCTCCAGTACATAAGGCAGGAATTAAAACAGTTGATTAGCTATATTTCTATGGATGAAATGGAAAAAAATGTTCTGAAAACAACAAAACAACCCAGTTGGAGTGGTGGATTGGATCATTTTGAGTGGTCTGGTAGAGGAAAACCTGAAGTGTTTCAAGCACTTTGTACTAGGGAACAGTGAGAACTTGAAACAAACTACTTATGTCTGCATTTTTTTTAAATTTTAGGCCCCTAAAAGGAGGTGATGCTGTAACCCCAGTACTATCATGCTGAGTGCTACCACTCTCTCTCTCGATAGATAGATAGATAGATAGATAGATAGATAGATAGATAGATAGATAGATAGATAGATATAGATAGATCGGACAGACAGACTAAACTGGCTAAGAAGATGAGTTTAAGTTTTTGTAATATTTAAGATGCTGTGGTAACAAGCACAGTTTGCCAAGCAGCCTGAAAAAAAAAACTCTGCAGAATAAAAACAGGACCCCCCCTTCGTGAACTTTATTATAACAAAAAGAAAAAAGAAAGCCCCCCAGCAACATGCTCATCTACCATTCAGACAGCCTACTTTTTCTCTTACCCAAAAGGTTGTTCTAAATCTTTGAACATATCCTCAGCCGACTCTCCTTCACCCCATACCTTCTTCAATGAACGATGGAGCCTGTGCCTGCTTTTTAATTGGCTAAGGTATTCTCCAAGTCTCCATGGCTGGCTCAATTTTTAAAAAAGCACAAACCAGTTGTTGTAATGGTGTGTGAGAAAGACCTTGAGAGACGGGGCAAAGAGATGCTGCCTAGGGAATGGTCAGATAAGAGAGGGCATAGCCCGCAACTGCCTAAGGGATGGAGCAAGAGGCTCAGAAGGGACCCTCCCTTGCTTCTCAGGCTGTAAAGATGACGGGAGATTTGTACTTTCAGACTTGCAAGTTTCTGTTAATGTAGCCTTAAAATAAAGTAGAATTAGCTCATCTGGTCATGTTTCCTGTCTGGTCTACCTGGGAAGGCTGACAGTTGTGGAACATTGGCACCTATACAACGTGGAATGGCACATACTGGTTCTGTTTTGCTTTGGGGCCAAATAGGGTGTTTTGTTCCAAACTTGGGTCATTTTATTCAGACTTGGAACACTCAATAATGGCTATTCTGAGTATGAGATTTTGAGTTCAAAACATTTCATTTTTTTCTGTCAATTGTACTTTTATAAAATGTATCTGAACAAACAAGAATTGTCACAGGAAGCAAGGTCTTTTATCAGTTTTATCAACTTTATTAGTTGCCCCAAGAGCAAAGAACCTAGGGTTGTTAACCCACCCATCCCCTCCTTTCCAATGCTGTGATACAAAAATTCAGACCTTCAGTTTGATTGACCATTAAACTATTATGTCTTCAAGTTTTCAATAATTAGGTTCATTTAAGAGTCTACCTTCTCACCAATCCACCTGTAAGTGGATAGGCAGCTAATATTAACTAAGAAATAAAAGGATAAATGTCTGTTGCTGGAATTGAAGGAAGCCAAGAAGCTTCAGTGGGCAAATGAATGAAGGAACAATTGGAATGATTTTAAATTTTGACTGAGAAGACTCACTGCTCCACCTTCAGCCTTCATCCACCTGCAACATTCATCAGTATTTTCTTACCACAGTTGTCACCCACCCATGCACCCACCCCTCTACAACAAATGAACAGTTGGCTTCTTCTTCAAACAAATGCAACTCTGTCTTCTCCATCTCTCAGGTTTCCCGAGCCTGGTGAGGTATCTATGCCAGCCCCTTTCCAGGACCTGAGCACCTTCAATGAATTTTGGGCCAGGCCCCATCAGCTGGAGTTCCCCGTGGCTCCTGAGCAAGACTCCAAACCCTGTGAAAGTCTGGCTGCCAATTTGTCATCCTTTTCCACTCTGCCTCTTCCTCTCTGGCAGGACAACACTGGGATGACCGGACATGCTGAAGAGCCAGCTGGCAAACCAGAATCCCAGAGGCTGATGTGTTCCCCTTACGCTCCTGAGCAAGGCTTCAGCCAGTGGGTGGTTCCCCCACCCAGCCAATACAGAGCCAGAAGTTACACTGCTTTCTCTACAGATTTCAGTCCACTGGGGACCTCAGGCTCTACCCCTGGGGGCAGAGCAGACTGGAGCCAATGTCCCCTGTTCCCTTATGCATGTTGGTGAGGGGAGAAGGCAGCTTTCCTGAGCAGGGGTGCTGAATACAGGCAGGAGGCACCCCAAATACGCCTTCGGCAAAGGTGACAAGTGTATTTGGCCCCTGCATGGGCCTTATCACCCACAGATCCCAGCAGGCATCACCAGATGACCACTGGATAATCACTGGACAGTCAAAGCACTGAAACATGAGCCCCCCCTTACAGAACACTCTGTGCTTTTGTTCTAAGGCTGATTTGTCACTCACCGCAGGGCAGAGGGCAATGGTCCTGTTCAGAAGTGCATGCCAATGATGTCAATGTCTTTTCTGCTCTCCATACATCTCAGAAGACTTCTTGAGCCTAATTCACACCCTTGTCTTTTTTCTGGCAACAACAGTCTGGGCCACCTTTCCGGAACGCAAGATCTGATGTCTCCCAGAAAGTGTTGCTTTACGGAGCTCTCAGCTAAACCTTCATGCCCATAATTCACTCCCTATGGGTAGCAATACTTCAAGGGTTCCATGAATGTTATCGTGCACTGTCCAAGTTTTGGAAATGAGTTGGTTTGTCAGTCTAGGAAGAGATGTGAAGAGTGGCCTAACCGTGGCTGCTCCACTGTTCTGGATTGGTGTACACTTCAAATGTAAAGTGCAACAAATAGCTAAATCTTTTCCAATGTTCTGACCAAGTATTCTTTGGCGATAGGATTTCATAAAATACTTTTTAAAATGCTGTGCCTGCATTTTTGTGGTTTCTTGGGATGAGCTCAGGACAAAAACTAATTCAATTCATATGTAAATCAGATGTCTGGGATTCCACCAAGGCTTTGGGGGGCCACGTACTGGATGAGGACTTCTTATAGGCCTTCTATAAGGGAGAAACAGCCAGCAGAGAGAAGTCTTCTGCTCAAAGCTCCAAACCGTATCTGCCCCCACCCCCCATTTATCCCTGAGCTTTCGTTCCAACCACTCTTTGAAATGGATGACAAGCTTACCTGGAAAAGAAATAGGACAAGAATTCCTGCAAATTGGATGAATGTTTTATTGAGAGTATACAAACAGGGCACTGAACTTCTTTGCTTGATGTGGGACCAGTAGTGAAATATATTAAGAAAACAAAAAGGCACTAATTTTAACACATTTCATGTGTTCTAAGAATATATTTAATACTGTTAATTTGTAGCATAAAATAAAAAGCAATGACAATCCCTCAAATAGGATGCAAAGTCCACAAATATCAGAAGCTGCTCCATGGTGAGCAAGAGCCTTGGTCCACCTAGTTCAGCCTGGAGAAATGGACTGGCAGCCTATCTCCACGGGGGTCCAGCAGGCATCTCCCAGCCCTCCCTCAGGGCCTTCTCCAGGCAAAGCTGGTGCTTTCACCTGAGTCACAGCCCCTCCCAACAGCTTTTTGCTCAAAATTAAAATGATACTTCACTGCCTTAAAAGATGTAACACAGTGAAGTTCTGTGAACCCCAAGGCTACCCCTTTCCTCTATGGAATGGCAACCCAACAGTGTCACATTCAGCTGGAGATACCAGAGAAATTTATTACAGACCAGGCAGCCAAGCCAGTCCTCAGATACTCTCATTCTATTCTATCTCACTTCCACCTCCACCCGCCCCCCCCAAGCAAAGTAAAATAAAAATGCACATGAAATAGCAGAACAAATGCTTTTCACCCCTGAACAAGACAACCCCAAAGACCTTGCTTGTTTGATTTCAGTCAGGACTTTCCTTGTGAGGGAGAGCTCTTCTAACCTCCCTGCTAATCTGAGGCATCAGTTGTTGCAATGAGGAAATGGAAGACCTTCCACAGTCAATATTCCAGCTACTTGCCAATTTGAAGGTAAGCCTAGGCACACTCCTTATCAATTAGCAGAACTAATTTCTGAGTGACTTTACAAGGATTCCACTTCAAGGCTTTTAATACCTTACATCAAAACACACAGACTGAAAAGATCCTCACAATTATCCAGAGTAGCTGGTTTCCCCAGGAGGATCTCTGAACACACCAGACATAAGCAAACAGCAAGGACAGTTCATCCTTGGTGACATTCACAAATGAGAGCACATCCAGCTTTTCTAGGTATGAAAAAACAGAACAGTAAAGTAGCAAACATTTGGATGTCATTAAAATGTACCATCAAATTCATTTAGTATGTTACACCTGAACTGCCTTTATCAGCTCTGATAGAAGCTGCTCCAAGTCTAATCTCAGATGGGTGTGAAGGCCATCCACTGCCCACTTCTCTTCCCGTGGCCTTTGATAATGGCTTGAGACTCACTTGCATAGTTGTCTGTGAAACCCTGGGCAGAAAGCAACCAAGGGTGGAGCTAACCAAGGAAACTGGGAAGCATTGGCTGTTCTACAGGTAGCACAGCAGAATCCCGACTAGGTCCTTGCTCTCTCTGCAGCTCATTGAGACAAAACATTTATACGCAGCTTAGATGCTGCCCTGAAGGATTGTTCATGAGGATTAGGCCAGCTGTGCTGCAGAATTATTGTAGGGCAGACTGACATTTAGTGCAGCTTAAATATTCCTAACACAAAGCTCAGTAGTACTACTTTGCAGTAATTCAAACATGCCCAGGCACTTTCTAGAACAGCCACATTATGGTCTATTACAGAGGGTCTGGAAGCATCCAGGCAAGTCTAATTCACAGTTCTTTGGGCAGTAAAACTGTATTCCTTTCCCCAGACCATGCTGGTGAACTGAAATGCTTCTCTCTAGACTGAATTGCTCCAATTGCTTCCCTTCAGCACCTTTCATCCTCAGACTAAGGCACTTGAATACTGAGTTGGACACGTAACTCCTGAGGTCCAACAGCTCAAGAGACCAGTACCAGTGAACTTTTAAAAACATCACTTACGGAGTCAAGGTCTTCACATGCTAAAACCAACATTCAAGTTTCTCCATTATCATATTTCATTGTGTTTAAACTTAGCACAGAGAAATGAGAGATTTTACAATGACTTTGCACTCCTGTGTCCCTGCAGAAAACAAAGGCTGAGGAGTATCTTTTCAGTTACTGTTGCATTCTCTGTAGCTGATTATCAATGCTTAGTTTTTGCTCTTTAAAAAACTTTTGATTTTAAAGGAGTAAATGTAGTTTCACCAAAGCTTGCACAAGAGTTTCTTCTAAAAGTTATATCTAGTGCCTGCAGTATCACTGCAGATCTAAAAAAACTGAATCGAACAACAAAGTTTAGGCAGGTAGATGGCAAACAAATCAATTATACACAGTTATAAAAAGATGATGAGGAAATGCATTTCTCAAAAAAAAGTTTGCTGTAATTTATTCTAAATCAATGGCAAACTCAAAAAAAAAAAAAAGACTGTCTTTGTAGCACAGAAGCATCAATAATTACCTAAAGACATAATTATTCTAACTGCTTAACCTGATTATATGCTCTCAAGTCTTCCATGCCTCATAAAAATGCATTTTTATTATTGTTTGGAGTTAGACAAAGTTGTTTAGAATTCTCTTCCTGAGCAAAATATCCATTTCAGCCAGGAACTGGATGTTTCAACCCCTCCCCCTCTGCCTAGATAGCACCACTATCAGCTCACAGTCCAAAATCCTTCTAGGAGAAACTGCAAATGCCGGACAATTGGGTGCATTCCAAAGAGAGACGTCAGGCTGTGAAATCACTGCAAGATGGAAAAATGGGCAATTGGCAGTCCTTATGATGTGCCATTAACAACCATCACACTTCAAATGATGCTCAAGATAGCCAGAAAAAGGAAGCAGCAATGTAGAGATGGGCCAGCAGATCACTCATTTTCATCAGGATTCTGAGGGTCAATTATTTTGACATGCGTGAAAGGAAAGAGCCCTTTTCTCCCATGGACTTCTCCTTCCCACTGACCATTGATATTCATCCTTGTGACCTTCACAATGTCACCAACCTGCAAAATGGAAAAGCAGTAAATATAAATACATACATACATAGAACAAAGCTGGAAAGGTTTAAGTTATTTCTTCTTACAAGAATTGCATTTCAAGAACTTTCTTACGTTCCTTCAATTAATTTGAATATACCTACACACTAACTCACAAAAGGAAATGCCCATTAGATCAGGTCCTCAAGCCCACCTAGGCCAGCCTTCTGTGTCACCAGCTGGATGCATTTGGGCGACCATCTGGATGGCCTCTTGTCCTGGGCTTCCCAGCCACCCCTACTTGAAGCAGGCTTCCTTTGAGTCAGAAGGTCAACAGCCTCAGCAGCAAATAGAGTTGGCTCCTCCACACACATCCAGTTCTCTTCTAAAAGTGCCCAAACTGGCTGCCATTTCCACAATGGCTGGCAGCCAATTTCATAGTGTGATTATGTGCGAAGTCAAAAAGCGTCTCCTTCTTGGGGTCCTGAATCTCCCTGCGTTTGTTTCAATGGATGACCTCAAGTTCTAACATCGTAAATAAGGAAAAATAGATTGAATAACTGACTGGAATTAAACAAGAAGCTTCCTGAAGTAAATCAGAATTATTTTTTGATTTTGTGAAAATGTTACAAACCAATTTCTTAGAACTGAGTTAATTCAAAGTATATTGAATTATATTATGAGACAGCTAGTTTACTGCCTCCCCCTCCAAAATAGAATTTCCAATTTTTTAAAAACTTGGACTATCCCATAATCTGCATCTTTCATAGGCAAAAGTGTTAACGTTGTATTTGCAACCCAGGCTTTCCATATATATCTTGAGCCATTAAGTGCAGGTATCGAAACTGATCCCAACACAAACAGGGATCTCATTACTTACTAGGATGTCAATGAGAGACAAAGAATTTATTTTATTTATAATTGATTTCTAACACACACCCCTTCCCCACCACTGGCTAATGACTCTGGGTGGTTTACAGAGGATTAAAAAGATTAGTAAAATCAGCAGCAATAAAAGACGTCTGTGCCAGGGAGGAAAACACAAGATTAAGTATACAACATCCAGTTACATAACAATCACACAGTTGGAAGAGCCAGATCTTGAGTGGTCTCCTATTATGACAATTATGATGTTAGATTTTGATGCTACCTTTCACCCAGAAGCTCCCCCTTCCTATTGTTCCCCACAACCTCCCTGTAAGGTAGGTAGGGGTGCGAGATTGTGAGTGGCTCAGAGCTGCTCAGGGAGGACCCGATGCCTCCCTGGTTCTCTTGAGCTGAGATCAAAGAAAAGCATCTGTTAACTGGAGAAACTCTCTTGGTGGGATGATGATGATGATGGATTCATTCCTTGCCAGCAGCTCTCCTGCCCTCAAGCCAACAAAATGTGGTCTCTTTCTCTTTCTATGACTCAATTCAAAGTATTTATATACAAAAAATGGTTTGAATGACAAGCTTTGGGAAAGCCCTTCAGAAACCCTCACAAAAAGGTGGGTTTTTTGGTGCCTAGACATGTCCTTGCAATTTTCTTGGCAAGATTTCAGAAGTGGTTTGCCCCGGCCGCCTCCTCCTCCTTAGGGCTGAAAGTGAGTGACTGGCCCAAGGATACCCTGCTGGCTTTGTGCCTAAAGCAGGACTAGAACTCACAATCCCGCAATTTCTAGCCTGATACCTTAACCACTACATCTAAGTGGCTCTCCACAAAAAGATTAGCATTAATATAAAGGATAAAAGAGAGGCTTCTTTCCAAGATTCACTTACCCTTCCATTAAGTTTATATAAGAAAATTGCCACCCCATTAAAAAGAAAAAAAAATCCAAAGACCATTCCTTGCACAGCCAAAAGAAATGCAAGCTGGGCAAAAGAGGCCACCTGAGACCGCAGACTTCACTTGCCCTTCATATTTTAAGTAAAATCTGCAAGTATCCAGAGGGAGAGTATAAGTCCATTTTGTCAGCCTCTGAATTAAATTCTTAAAAATGGTTTGTTTGCCATAATTAAGATAAAATTATAATGTATCATGAGGTTAAAAAGCAGTATAGCAACACCATAACAATATGGCAGAAAATGGAAAAGTTTGGTTTTAATACTAAAAGGTTGAGAGGAAAATTCTTTAGTCACAGAAAACGAGGAAGTGGGGAATCCCTCTTTAAAATTATATAATCAAGCAGTTCATTTGGACAGACGATTTCATTTATACTGGAAGAAAGAGCAAAACAATGGATTCAGATAGAAGACTTAAAAGGGTTGGATAGCTATATGAGTCAAAGGTTCTTTTTTTCCCAAAGGATCTTGTAAAAATAAGCAATATAAATAATATATTTACTAGGGCTATGTCTCAGGTATGGAAGAAGAAAAGTCTGGAACTGAAAAGGGGTAGCTCTCCATCATCTCCCTTGATGGTTCATCCTGATTTTTGATTCATCTAGAACAATCCCATTCACCTTATGGAGACGATTGTGATGGAAGACATGAGTGAGGAGGTCCAAGGTCATATGGAGGGGGAGAGGAATCCCAAGCATCTCCTCAGCCCTCAACCAGTGTGTGTGAAAGTGAAGAGGAGGAGACTGGCACCACCCTAAGGAATTCAGAGTGTTTAGTTGCTATCATTGGGGGTTAGAGTTAGACTGGCGAGATTCTGTCTAGTAGGTGTAAGCTAATAAAGTAACTGAAATGTTCCTGAGTTGTCCCGCTGAATTTCTTGGGCTGAACCTGACAACAATGCAGTTTATATATAAGAGAGTTTTATAATAATTGAGTGAATCTAAAGTAGGCCACCAGATGTCTTAGTTAATGTGGATTCAACTTAAATCTCTTTGCAGCTGAAAGTAATACATAAATGGCATTTAACCCCAATATGAATTGTGTGTGTGTGTGTGTGTGTGTGTGTGTAACCCTGAGTTGGGGTTATTACAAATAACAGCACAGAGGACCAAATCATAATGTTATCAAATCTGGAATAATTATACACGATAGAGTAACAAGGTATAACAATGTTGTGTTAACAAAATTATTCCAAATGTTGTGAACTTGGAATGTTGTTGGAGTAAAATAAAAATAATTTAAAAAGCAGTATAGCAGAAAATGAAATCAGGGACAGTGCTAAAACCAAGAGAAAGCTTAATTATAGGAAGAAAGATGAAGAAATAGTAAAATTTCTTCTCTGGACCCATAGCCGTTATCTGATCTTTTAAAAACCTTGCAGAGAGAGCACTGATACTCCCCATTAGAAGACCGCTGTCAGGCATCCTCTTAACTTCTTTAAGGACAGATTTTAGATGGCCTGTGAGGTGTCGTCATGGTGCTGGACTAGGAGCAGAGACACCCAGAATTGGGTCTACCTTCAGCCACAGAAGCTTCCTTTTGGAGCCCAATCTACCTCAAAGGGTGGCACATATGTTAGGTATTTATAAGGCTGGCTGACTCAAACAAGGAAATGGGAGGCAGTACTATGCATCCTGCCTTCAGTTCCTGAATAAATCTTTTTCCTCATTAATAGCAGCCCCTTCCCAAAGAGAAAAAGGCTGCAGTGAGCCATCCACTGGCCTGGGGACAATTCCTCACGCGCTGGAAAGAGCAGCTGCGTGGAAGACTGACTCCAGGGGTGCCATCCTTCAGCTGAAACGGCAACATACTGCTGTCATAATCTTGCCCCACGAGGAGGCAAAGTGCTTCATCAAAATCAGAGAAAGATTAAAATGGCTTACTTCTAACTGGAAATGTTGGAATGGCACATCACAGATTTGAACATGAGCATACAGGCACTGGTGAGGAAATGGTGGGAAGCCATTGGGAAGAATGGGACGGGGACAGGCAGGGGGTCTATTCTACGCTGGGATATGCCGAGATGATCAAGGAACAGAGGTGTAGGCCAGGTGAAGGGGGTAATGGCAACAGCAGGTATCTTTTGGGGGGAGGGGTGGAGTGGGAGGGGCAAGGCTTATCAGCCATATCTACTTGCCCCATAAGGTCACTCTGGGTTTTTTACTAGCCCAAAACTGGAACAACAAAAATATTCCAGGTTTTATTTTGTCAAACTGTGGTTGACCCAGAACAGTTCAGCGAAACTTGCAGAACATAATGTATTTATTTCACATTTGGAACTAAACAAATTCCCCTACTCCAAGTTCTTGGAGCACATAGGTACCAACAAATCAGGCCGGGCCTCCATGGACAAATAACCCCCCATGTGACATCACCTAAATAAAGGAATACAAAATATCCTTAAAGCTGAGCTCAACTCTTGGCAACTTCATGGACAGTGTTCCATGTGCAGTGCAGTGTTCTTGGCAGGAAGCAGGAAGTGGTTTGCCACTGCTGTCATCTGAGATTTTTTGTCAACCTCCCAGTCTGCAGTTCGCAGCCTTAAGGTTTCTTTGTGGGGGAGGGGGGGTTGTATCTCATTAAATAAGACCAAAGTCAGGCCATGTTTAGCTTCTCAAGATAAACCAAGCATCAAAAATCTCTACCTGCAAGCTATTTACAGGGATTAAACACCACCACTTTGGAAACATCTACAGATGAACCCGCCAAGGAAAGTTCATATGGAAAAGAAAGGAGAGCAGAAGAGTCCTCTTTCATCATGAATCATTTCCTGGGACAACTACACACACCCAGATGCACAATGTGGCTGCAGCTATCTCCCATGTGCTGCCACCCTGTCTATCTCCTTCTTTCTTTCCTCCCCGTTTTCTTTCTGTTCTCCTTCCCTCTATTTCTCCATTTACAACATTCAGCTTTCCGTTAATAGGCAGCCTGTCATTCAGCCAGCTAATCAGCCCTATCCAGTTCTCTCGGGCTTCTAGATGTTCAGATGTTTAAGACACAAGAAGAGCCTGGTTGGATCAAGCCCTAGGCCCATCTAGCTGAGCATCCCATTGTGTATCTTCGAGAAGCTCCTAAGCTTGGACTGGAGGATGAAAGGGCCCTTTCCCTGCTGCTTCCCAGCAACCAAAATCACGGGCAGCATCAGAGGAGCAACAGACAGACGGAGTGGAGCGTGCTCATGAAGTTCTGCTCAGGAACAATCCAGAGATGCCAGAAAAGGCCCCCCTGGTCTGCAGCTGGTACACCCTGAAGAAGCCTAGCTCTATGGGTTTCCCGCCACTGGCGATATGGCGATTCAGAAGCCAGACAACGGACCTCACTTGAAAAAGTATGGCTAGGCACTAAAAGGGCAGTTCACAAAGAATGAATAGTATCACCTACCTTATCAACTGAAAAGGGAGAAAACAATCAGTTTTGGCATTTTATTTTTTTAAGTTGAATTTAACTATCCAAGCACCCACAAGCTCAGGCACCATCTTCCACAGAAATTCCAAAATAACATTATTTGGAAAAAGATCATCCAACTCCTTTCTCCACAAAGCAGGGCTGGTCCACTTCTAAGGGTTAGGGGCCACAGTTAACTGCCTGGAGGGTCTTAGGAAGCCATTTGGTAGAGGTGTAACGTCACCACAAGGGACTTGGTTGACATTTTTGGTGCCTTTTTTCCTGGCCTGAGTGGGAATTTCCTGAGTGGGAATGGGAACAGGAACCCCTCTGGGAGACAAACTGCTATCATCAAATACCTGTCCTATCTGAAAAGCAGCTATTGTAAGTTGGGCAGCCATATATGTTGATTAAATAAATGTTTTTTCCTGCTGAATGTTGGCAATACAATCTCGGGTTACTGGGGTGCTGCATACAGTTTGCTATAGTTTACTGCCTCACAAAAAAGTATCTAAGGATATTCTGAAGAAATATTTTAAATCACTTAAAACATAAGAGAATAAAACGTTGCTAAGATGCAGATAGTAAAGGCCAAATTCTAGCTATATCAATCAGCACAGAGCAGAAGGAGAAACAAAATCAAAAGTGTGGAGCCCTTGGTGTTCTCTGAGCTTGGTTATTTGCTTGCAGAGGTTTCATTACCTGACTAGGTAACATCATCAGTGCTAGTGAGTGTGGGGCTTGCTCCCTGTTTATATACAGCAGCTTGCTCTGCCAGTGTTGGTGGGGGTGTAGTTTTCTCCTTAGTGATTTAATTTAATCAAGGAACACCCCCACCAATGGCAGAAACACCTCCAGGGACTGCAATGCCTGAATATGCCAGCTGCATTGCCCCACACCAAGCCTAATCACAGGCACAGAGTTTTGCCAGGGGTGTAGGAATTTTCCCCAAACAGGGCTGGCAGGCCACATTTAAGAGTGACTGTAGGAGGTGGGATAAAACCATCCAGCTATTCACAAGTCTGTGAAAACCACAGAGCAGAGAGAATGAGTTAAATCCATGTTTTTGGGATAGGCCCTTCCAACTGGATGAGGCAAATGAACTACGGTGCACTGAACCTGCTCCAGCTGAAAGGCTTACCTCTAATGCCAAGGCAGTCTTGTCATAAGCACATGGAACCCTCTTTTGAATGGCTTTGGCATAGACTGGTCCATTCTGGGTGGATGGCAAGGGGCTGATGACAGCCCCAGGAGAGTGGGTTGCACTGGGAAGAGGGCTCGAGGTCTGAGGCTGAGCATAGGCATGAGCGGGCTCGGGAATCCCATAGCTATTGGAATTCCTGCTGCCATGCTTCCCATGAGGAGACGATCTCACAAGCTTCTCAACGTAAGGAACAGGGATCATCCCAAGGCGGCCGTCTTTGTTTCTGGCACTCCACCACTGGTCTTCAGGCTTCTCTATGATGACGAGTATCTCCCCCTTTTTAAATGGTAGATCCTCTGCATCGTTACCAGGAAAGTCATAAAGAGTCCGAACATATTCCACATTCTCCTCTGCAGCAGGTGCAACGGAGCCAGTACCAGAACCCATCAGTGGATACCTGCAGACGACACGGGAATTATTCAATCTCTTAAGAAACAGTGAAATCCTCCTAAAATTATCTTGTTCTCTAGCTACCTCATTGCTCAACTACTGCAAAGCTGTGAAGGAATGGTTAGATGAAGGCCGCGCTTGAGGAGATAAGCATTCCCTTAGCCCTCAACAGGAGCGTGGGAATGCTTATCTCCTCAAGCACAGCCTTCATCCAACCATTCTTTCACAAAAGCGCTCTACATGGGGGTCCTTTGAAGACCACTTGGAAGCTTCAATGGGACCAGAATCTGGCAATATGAGCAGTAACGGACCTGCCTTGGCAGGCACATATGACACCACTGCACTGGCTACCGGTTTCCTTCCAGGTGCAATACAAGATGCTGGCTGTCATCCATAAAGCCCTACACGGCATAAGGCCAGTTATCTGAGGGGCTACCTCCTATGGCTCCTGCCCAGCTGATACAAGCCCACAAGGATGGCACCCTTGAGATCCCTTCAATTAACCGGGGTCATCTTTCGGGACCCGGGGGGCACACCTTCACTGTTGAGTGCCCGCCCTCTGGAACAAAGTTCCCCTGACATCCAGGTGGCTCCCACCCTGAGTGCGTTCCGTAGGGCCTTAAAGGCTCAGCTGTTCTCCCAGGCCTCGGGTAGGGTGCCTGGGGCCCCTGGCCAGTTTTGCTGGTATATGGCTTTTAGGCGGTTGGCCAGATTTGCCATCTTGTTCTTTATTTTGCCCTTCTTGCCCTTTACTCTCGTTGCCATATCGTGGGGCGCCCGGAGTCAGGCAGCATCTAAACCGAACGCGTCCAGATGAACACGCGCCTCGTCTCCGGAGAGCCCCAGGGACATCCGTGCCTAAACGGGAGGCCCGGCGCAGCTCAGCTGACGTTTCCCCGAGGGGTTTTCGGCGTTACGAGCCTCTTAGGGCAAGGGGAGCAAGGAGCCGAACCCGCGAGGCGCCCGGGCCCG